CTGCATGGGTCCTGGGCTCATGAGAAGCAGGCCATAGCTGCTTGTTTCGCTGAGTCAGAAACCTGGTCGTCAAAGGTGACTGTGTGAAAGACTGGCCGGAAATCCATCAAGCAAGAAGGGTCAACCTAACAAACTCCATCCGTTCAGATGAAACGTGGGGTGCCACCAATCTCCCTCAAAACAGGTGACCTGTAGGTGACCCACGTACTTCCTGGGCAGCTTAGGGTTTGGGGTTGGATCTGAAACGCAGCCCACACTCACCGAAACGCATGGGACCAGACCGAGCCGACCCAAGGAGTCCAATCCGGCCTCGGGGAGTCTTCACTAAGCTGTCCTTTGCGGCTGGCGGTGTTCAACCGTGACGACACAGGGACACCGCATGTTTGGGGGGGGGGACTGAAGCTCTCCTTTTTTTGGGGGGGAAGGAACGTGGTGCCCATCGCCCAAAAGAAAACCAACACATGCATATCATTGTTGGTCACAAGCCAACACATAATCATTCCATAAAAATCAGGGTCTCCAATTAGTTTCACTGTTAAGGGGTCTCCAATTAGCACACCTTTGAGGTCCCTGGTAATCATTCCATAAAACCAACACATTCCATGTGCCCATCCTTCCTCTCATACCGTTCCGTCACCGTTGACGTCTTACCCATGACGCTTCAAACAGTTTGTGGTCCCTCAAAACCTAGGGATTGGTGAGAAACCCCAGACCCCTGACGCGAGGATTCGGGTCCAGGGTCGCGTCTGGGTAGAGCTTCTGGGCTTCGTGGATATCAATACATCTCGATAGCGGGTTTGCAACCCGAAGGACTCCACGACGCTCTCATGAGGAGATCGTCATCCTCCACACCGTCAACTGCAGGGTCCCCTCGAACCCCGAAAAACACCGTCAACCAGGGACCATAAACCCAGACACTCCATGTATGACATATACCTTCATTGGGGTGTTTTCAGGGATCAATTAGTAAACAAATATTCCATACATGGAGTGTCTGAGAAATATATCTTTGCAAACAGATCATACGGCTGTGGGTCATGGCACTCACGCTGGGCCCACTGGGCACCGTCCCGCCACCGCCCCCCCGGGCCAGGTCGTTCACTAGATGGTGGACGGGTCGGATGGTGGACTAGTCGGACTTCGACCCCACTCTTTTTACATGTATGGTGGACCGGTCGGATGAAGATGGTTGGCACTCTGGTGCTCCAACCAGCTGTTGCTCCAGCTGTTTGAGAGTAGCCAACTGTTTGGGTCGGTCTGTCTCTACTTCCGAGGTCGGCATGAAGACCGTCGAAACAGCAGGTAAGTGTGTTGAGCTCTGGTGGTGTTTGATGGTGTTGGGAAACTCAGGAACCCTATGGATCCACTGCTACCTTCAGAAGGTCATTGAGCCTCCTGGAGCCTACATACATAGTCTCGAATCACCTTCTCAGAAGGTGTGTGGATCCATAGGGTAAGGGTTTCTGCCACAATTGAGAACATATCGAACTTAACTGGCTTTGAGGAAAGTTGTCCAACACAGCTGTCCACGGTTGGGTGCCATGTTAGAATTCTTTGGGTGCTGTGTAACCGTCCATCCTCTAAACACCTGTGATTCACTATCTGGTGCTTCAACAAATAACTATAGGTGCTAGGTCTGACCCATCTGAAGCGATGGGCATTGTCAAAGCACGATCCCTGTTCTGAACTGAGGGCCATGATGACGCCAGAATAGCCATTTCCACACCCTAGCCACGTTTTTTCGGATATTCTATTGGGCACTTGGTAGATTCCAAGAGACTGTGCACCAAGAGTTCTATGTCAGGGGTGCTGTTCCGTCAAGTACATGTCTGACTGCCAGACCTCTTGATACAGAAGTGCCCAGCCCCTACGGGCTCAGGATGGCTTGATCAGAATTTAATGTGGAGGAGCTTCGAGCTTCATGCTTTGTCAATTTCCACTCTCCTTGGAACTTGAATTCGGAATCGAGTCTCCAAATTGGAATGCAGATGAGCATAGAAATCCAATCTTGTCCAACACTTGTATTTGGTCTCACATTAGATACAAATATCTAGGGATCCACATACCTTCTCAGAAGGTACTTGGGCCCTCCAAGCCTACTTAAATAGTCTCCAATCACCTGAGAAGGTACTTGGATCCCTAGGGAATACTTCATGTTGCTGAATGTGAGACCCAATCTGATTCCAAATCCTTTCCACACCGACCCTCCGGCTCGTTCTCCGCCTTCCGTGGGGCGACCTTCACCGTGACCTCACCGCGAGGAGCATTCTCGTGGGCCGAGCGCGGAGAACGTCCAGGTGAACGCCACGTGACGAAGAGTTGTTATTGATGAAAACATGAAACTGGACGGTAAGACACGAAGTTCGATCTTGTTGATCATGGATTAGATAAAAGGTATCGAACATATAACATATCTGTTCATCGAGTCAGTTAGATCATGATAGATTACCATGTGTCGAACAAACTTTAATCTTTAAGGAAAACACACATCAACATAATACTTTAAGGGTTAAGGAAAACACAAATCGACAACATATATGTTCAGAAGATACGTATGTGCAAATTGTCAGATGTATTTTAATATCGTGTCATATGATAAGACTAATATATATATATATAATATAGAGAGAGAGAGATTTAAGCACATTGTATGTACAAAAGTTGCTATATTTAGTATATATGCGCGATTGCTACATGACATCTATTATATTTCAAGGGTAATATAAACATGTGGCCAAATATCAAATATCCAAAAACAAACACATAACTTAACACGTGTGCTGTTTAATGTTGCAATACCCATAGGTAGTGAATGCAACACGCTACGTGTTCATAGGTCATCGAACACTATTACCACATGAATCCATATGATACCATAGATATAAGAGACCAAATAACGACACAACAATCAAGACAAGGTCAAACTCATTGATTGCAATGAATTGCTGAACAATATATCACATGACATACATCTCTTTGTTGGAAGAGGAAGTATATTACATGGACAACATGTCAAACGAAGGGAGACAGTACAAGGGTCGAAGATTCCACACACAATCAGTAACAACAAACACAACATCAAATATCACCTGAGAAAACTACACTATCGACTATCGGCGTCAGAACGTCAGACCTGTCGGGGTGCCATCCATGGAGGTAGTCGGGGCATGCCCCTGTCACATCCTCTGACTGGATGGGAGAAATACAACATCACCCAACTCCATCCCTGTGGATCCACATACCTTTTGAGAAGGTGATCGAAGACTATTGATGTAGGCGCCAGTAGGGCCCAGTCGTGCCTTCTAAGAAGGTATGTGGATCCCCTTAATCATGTGACTCCTGCCATTTCCATCCAGACGCCTGGCCACGAGTGCTGGGACCCCGTGTGCCGCCTGTGGCGCGAGAGTTGAAGAGCAACAAATATGTATTCCATCAACGTGGTAGACGGTTGATTAATGGCTTTTCCAATTCAACTGGGGGGGTTATTCCATCAACAGGGTTGTTCCATTTAAAGACATTTTGTTTTTCATGTTTTTCCAATTCAAGTGGGGGTAGGTTGGTTTGTGAATCAAGATATATCTGCATTAAGCACAAAGATGTAGAGGTAACTATTCCAGCTTTCTATGGGTCCACATCTCTTTTGGGGAGACCCTGGTCGACTGATCTGACGATGGATCTAGTGGGGTCCAGTGGGGTGGCGGTCCCGATAGACGAGTCACGCAACGGTGATGTGACCCAAAGCAACCAAGAGAGGGTTGAGAGACCCGAACTAGGAAGTAACCTAGGACCCTGGTCTGTGGTACATATGTGATGGGCGACCAGTGAAAAGGCTGTGAAAAATCTCTCTTGGAAGAGAAACGGGAGTGATATTTTGAGGGCCACCGAAACGAGGTGAGCTCTGTCAGCGTGACTGCAGCGCCGCCGTAGACTTTTGGCGCTTAGCTGAAGATGATGTAAGCTCCGTCCGTGAATGATTGGAGGAGTCGGACGCCGGCCCTGAAGGCGCACACCAATCCACAAGAACGGACAAACCCTTGGATCCCGGTTATCTCCCTTTGGATGGTAGTTTTGGGCCCTGAAGGGTGGCGCGTTTTCTTCCCATCTTCTTTGGACTCCAACGAGATACCAACTTCGTTGACCGCCCCCCTGGTTGGAGCACTCGAGTCCAGGCACTGCAAGAAACCACCGGTCCAATGAAACTCGTTTTGCGCGGAAGTTGGAGCAGTCAGAAACCACCAACACCATGGTGCTCTTAGAAGGACAATGCTGTTGATTTTGTCCATGCACTACAACATGTTCTATTCTCAGCAAAAGATATCAGAAGTGGATCTATAGGAGAAGGATTATCGTTTTTTCAATGTTTCTTCATGATTCCCTGAGTGATTGTGCATTTCCGTAACACAGGCCCCCAATGTCATGTCCAATTTTCACAAACATCGAAAACAGTCACACAAGTATCGCTAAATTGCTGAACGGTGGTCAAGTAAGCTCTTCATTTCAACCATAATCTTTTGCAAACCACAGTGGAAAGGGATTTTCATGGACTTTCACCCAAACCCAAACACAAACCGCCCCGTTCTCCGGTTCTCCCGTCAAAACCCGATCCCGACCGTGGCGACTCTTTTTGTACCCGGCGACCGAGGCGCGAATTCCGGTTTTGGCCGAGACATCCCCTCCAACAAATCCGATCTCCAGCCATGAGAAACTCGTAGGTACCATGAAGGAGCCCTGAGAGTCCATTGCTACTAACAAGAAGCCACGAACGTAGCGAACGAAGCTATTAGGTTGGAGGCCATCACTATTAGGTTGCTGCTTGGATGGTTTGGGTTTTTTTCAAAAGGCATGTTGGGCTTTGACACATGCAATCTGCACATCAATCTGTGTTTTTGAACTGGTTCTGGATGGAGTATAGTGTGGTTTTCAGCCAAACGCATCTGACAGAAAACAACCGCCAGCGCGGAAAGCATGCCCGCTCGCGCGCCGCTCCGGCGCTGGCAGCGTCACTGGAAAGCACTCCTCAGATGGGTCAGGAAACAGCCTGTCCCTACTTCCCAGCGGATCCACAGACCCCTCCTGTCAAGGGTGATGTGTTAGACACTGAGAATGGCACCTGGGTCGGGTGCCGCCAACCAACCTGAGAATGTGAATTCTGGATCCCTATAGGGCTTGATCCCCTGAGCAAAACCAGTCCCAAGCAAAAACAAGTGGGTGTTTCCCCAGTCCCGGCTCAGCCACTTCCTATGTAAAGGATTTCAAGTGTCGGGTTCGAACCATGTGGTTCTGGGACTGGGACTGGGGACACCCATCCAGGCTGCTGGGACTGCTGGGACTGGGTTCAAGCTGATGAAGTGGTTTTCGTGGTCTCTTCGTTCCCCACACCAAAAGCGCAGCCGGTCGACCGCAGCCGGGAGACCGGCTGGATTCGCAGTGCGAGAGCCAGAGCCATTCGATTCACGGCATCATCCGAACAGGTGGTGGATCCTCCATATCCAGACCATCCTTGGGAGTGGAATAGTTTTTTGGAGCCAGTGTATGTGTTTTCCTCTTCCACTCCCATGGCCAGTTTGGGATATGATGCATCATCTTCTGGTCCCACCGACCGTGCTTGTCATCCGCCCTCACCACACCCGCATCACACTGGTCATCTGAAAACGCATCACATCTGAAAACAAGTCTCTGCTGTGCCATCACACTGGTCACCTGCAGCATCTCCAGCATCTCCGGCGCTGCCCTCACACAGCTTTCAGCCGCTCGCACGGCGCAGGCCGCGCACTGCGCGCTGCGAGCGCACGGAGCGCATGGAAGGGTGGCAGTGAAGAGGTAGAGCGCGGCAGACCAGCGAGAAGACCTCCCACTTGGTGAAAAAAATCATCAAAGCACAAATACCAAACAAACGAACACAACACCGAACAAAGAGAGGTTTTGCAGGAACCAAAACCAGGTGCAGGTGCGTGAACATCTGGGCTGGGCACCCTAGGTGAATGTAGAAGTAGGGACCACCTCTATGTTCAGGTGGTTGATATAGTAATATAGGGTGAACAATCACAGCATGTAATTCTATTCCCACCCAAATCAGATCGCTGGGAAAACATCCGTGTTAAACCGGCCCCGAGCCCCCAAGCATGAGGCCGTATGAGGCTTGAAACCACGTCACTCTTGAAAGGTCGTAGAATTGTCTTTCCAAATCCCCGACCAAGTGCATGAGAACAACCTTCCTCGGCTTAACATTCTAAGACACCAAGCACACATACCCTACACCTCCAGTGGTACCTCCTCAGGTTCGGTATGAGTGGACCCGAACATGGCATCCACCCCAGTCCCACCGTACCTCAGGTTCGGTACGACTGGGAGGCCGAACGAGCTGGACCGTCCTGACTGGACCGTCTCGGTCTACCCGGGCGACCGTCCTGGTTCGGCATCTCTTCCAGTCCTATGGACGGTCCTATGGACGTTCTTCACTTCACTCAGTTCATCCAGTCAGTTCTTCTCACCTCTTCACTTCAGTCTTCCAGCCCAAACCAAGCCCAGTCTTCAGGCTTTGTCCCAGTTCCTCGGCTCTGTCTCTTTCTCAGCTTTCAGCCGGCTGCCTTGTGCATGCGCTCATGGCAGCGCTCAAGCTGATGCTGTCGGAGGCCACTCGGAAGCCTCACCAAAGCGCTGAGCCAGATGGCTCAGAGAAGGCCGGTGAAAGGTGTTTTGGAACCCAGTGAGAGCAACAAATCACAGCGTATTGCAAATAATAATATGTATATAAACATGAATTAGGGTCATAAATGCGGTTTATGTATATAGGTAGTATGTACATGGTCTGGACATATTTACATACAATGAGGGTGTTTCAGTGGTCAATGCATGTGAATATTCCATATCATATGGAGTGTCTGGGAATAACGATTGATGAGTATGATGATGGTGATGATGGTTGTGGTAGCCGTAGTCCTAGGGACTTAACTTAACCAACAAAATGCATACCAAGTCCATACCCATCCAGATCTGTCCAGATTGGTCCAGATTCCAGACATATAAGTCTGGAAACTGGTCCAAGTCCCATCTGTCGGACGTGACATCTGTTCTGGTCCCACGAAATGCACGTGTGAAATCTGTCCATCAAGGGGTCAATGTACCGGCCATCCAGGTATGGTTCCTCGGTTCCTCCATTTATAACTAGTCACCGTAGGTGACTATTGCAGTCCCATGGATGATCTGGGTAGGTCCATATACCAGTTCCATGACTTGTTGTGTCTATAGGACATGTGTTCTGAGTCTTTTCATCCTCCAAGTGGCTGGCCATCGCTGCGAGCAGTTCCAGCGATTGCTGCCACTGAAGGGCCTTCTCACAGCAACTGATGGCAGCATTGAAGCAGGTCACATCCGGTCGGATCGATTCCTGAACGGCAGGCGCAGGGACAGGCGCAGGCTACACGTACGACAAGAAGGGACAGGTTTGGTAGATTATTCTGATTTTTCAGCTATAGTGCTATTCTATGGGAGTTAAGGGAGCTGGAAAAGCTGGCAAAAGGCAATGCTTAGCTTAAAGGTGTGGCTCTGAAAGGCATATTCTATAAGTATGGTCCATCAGCGTAGGGTCATCCTGGGAACCTCCTCCGGATTTCGCCCCTTGCATTTACCATGGCTGGCAACACGCCTAGGGGTTGGATTCCAATTTTGAGAAACATTCAGATGGTGCTAGAGAAGTACAGATCGAGTCTGTCCTATTACCAGTAACAGCGGATGATGATGGTTCAGTTGTAGGCCTTTTTCCAAAATACTGATGTTCTTGTTTACTGACTCTTACAGGTAAGAACAGACAGACCCAACAAAATGATGCTAGAGAAACATCTAGGATCCACAAAGACCCGTTGAAGACACCTTCTGCTTCGGTCCTCACGATTCCACCACTCTATTCTGATGGAACGATCACATGACCAGCACCCAGGGACCATGTGCACCAGGGTCTTGCTGTTGTCCACAGGTAAGCTTCTCAGGGCTGTGATGTGCACACCGGTGAATGCTGGTCCAACCGGTCTCAAAGAGGAAGGTCGTTGCGAACTTCCACCAGGACAAGTCGTTCGTGTCTGAACCCTTTTCGGGATCAAAGAACGAAAGGGAGCCCTAATTAATAGTTACTCGACGGAATTGTTTTTGGGGTCAACATGTCAACACTTCCTGAGATTGTTGAAACACCGTGCCCAACGAAAAACAGAAGTGGTTTCCAACTCATAGATTCTTGACAACTACTCACTTTTCTATCTAGTTTGGGGTCACTGGAAAAAAACCAAAGTGTTTGCCTTGTTTGCCTGTTTCTTGAGGCTTAGACCCGGCGTTTGAGACCCGAAAATGGAACCAGACGAGTTTAGACGACGTTTCCTCTGCAAATCGGGCGTGGTCTTTCACCAGGTTCCATCTGGGTCTCTTCCAGGGCATACCCGATAATCATCCATGGGACGGTTCAAAGAGGCAGTCCCATGGCTAAGCCCATGGATGGGTCAGCCCATCCATGTAGTATCTAACTGTTCCAGTCCCATGGATGGTCTGGGTGCTAGGTTTTTTGGTGTTTTTTTGGTCTTCATCATCTATACCATGAGGGCAGAATATATGAGTAAGATTTAGTAAGCAACTTGGCCGTGGCGTTTGACCTGGAGACCGTGACTCGGCCGCTGACTCGCGCCCATTTTCTCAGTAACTGTTCCATGTCTTCTTCCAGGGTGTCACTGTGATGTCACCCTGCTGATGTCACGGACTGGTCTCCGACGGGTCACCTGGATCCATCGCATGTCACGGACTGGAGTAGAGACTGATGTCATTGCCGGGGCCCAATGGGACGGACACCTATTGATCAAGCGGTGACGATTCCAGCAAATGCTGGATGATCTGACTATGGTGCTATTCAGGAAGACTCCTGACATCCTCAGTTCCCCTTGAGAAAAGCTTAGCTTAACCTGTTTCCATCTTAACCCTTTTTTCCATTGGGGGCCACCAATCCCCACAAAAGGTGACCTGCAGGTTATCCACCTACTTCCTGGCTATGTCGGGGTATGGTTGTATTCAGGGGAGGACTCCTAATGGATCGTCGCATGCCACCACCAACTTCATCCAGCTGGCTAATCGCATCCGTTCAAAGAAGCTCAAGGCCGCTTGCCACTGATGGCCCTTCTCGCAGGAACTCATGGCTGCGACATAGCTGATCCTGAGGGCTGGGTTAAACATGGAGGACAGGATGGAAGAGCCTCTTACAACAAGGACTGGTCTTATCTACTTACCTCTTTGGTCCCAACAGTTTCTGATCTACTTTCTCTTGTCGGTATGTGGCCGCTCGTCACCAGCTCCACTCGTCACCGCTCCACTCTCTCGGGTGAAGAACATCGGTGTACTCCTCTCTGGAGTGAGTGAAATTGCACCACCGGTCAGCACAGTGGAAGAAGCCCTGGTGGCCATGCAGCGGCCAAAAAGAACAAAATGATATGTAGTTCATGTGTATATATATATAACATATAAATACATATATATATATATATGTCACCTGAAGTGTATCTCTTGGCACTTTCTATGCTTCATCTGTACGACTTGAGTAGAAGAAATGTTTCATTTGCACAAAGAGGCCTGTAAAAAGGAAGCCTTGCTGACTCCAAAAAAATCACTGGGAAGGTTCCTGGTATACACAAAACATGACCAAGCTAGTGTTGTTGGAGATCCTCTCTCAGCTACCTGCTACGAGGGTTCGTGTCCAAGAGTCGGACCCGGTCCTGTCAGGGTCCGTCCTTCCTTTGGGTCGAACGGCCACATGTCACGGCCCGGGTGGAACAGACCTTCACGCCGGTTTTGCCGGGAAACCTGTAACAGTCGGTAAACAAGAACATCACCAAATTGGAGACAGGCTATGACCAATCATCATCCACTGGGCCCAGCTTTACTGGGATATATCCAAGGTATGATGGTGTGACCTCAAACCAGGGGATCAAGTCAATCAACACTGGGAAGATCCAGGTAAAGGGCTCGGTTGCTTGGTCACGTTGTTGGACTCCTGGACTGCCAGGCAGATGAAGCCATGCTTCTCTCCAACAAAAGACTCACCGGTGCTTTGCTTGCTTGTTCATGCATGAGACCCTGCTTGGAGTGTCACTTGTGTTTGGTCAGCCACGCTTGTCCCAAGAAGGGGAAGATCGCCAACCCTATGGTCCTTTGCTATTCACTTTTGATAGAAGAGTCAAACAGATCCCGCACCCAAGCCTTAGTGGGGCCTCCGGCGGCCTCCGGTTTTCAGCAGGCACAAGCATCTGTGTGCCAGCACCGCCCAGTAAATCCAGGCAACCCACGAGAGTACGTCGTCAAACAGTGGTTCCAAAGACCAAGATCACACACCTTTGAATCATTCAAAAGCAAGAGTCAAATCTGGTTGAAGGCTCTGCTCGATCATCCACCAAAAAGTCCTGAAGCAGGCAAGGATTGATGATGGTGGCAACAAAAGATATATACTTATGGATTGTGGAGTAGCTACCTGTTGGGCTGTGATCTGTAGAAGGTTTCTGCACCTTATCTGGGCCCTGGCATCTCAAAAGTATGAATACTTTTTGTCCAAACTTTCTGCGCTGCAAATGTCTATCCTGACATGCACATCCAGCCCGGAACCCAGTTTCCTGTTGGGATGCAAAGCTCCTCAGAGTGCTAGGTCTCCTGAAATCACCCCTTCTCTTTCACTAGAGCCCGAGCATAGGCAGGAATTGACCTGTTCACCCCATGATCCTGGTCACTTTGTACAGTAAAGTTTATCCAATTCCCCGGGTCCCCGGATGATCCCTTTGCAAAGCAGTCAGGTCAAGCAGGGCTACCTTCTGTTCAAATATTTATTTATTTATTTATTTATTTTTTGCAAAAAAGGAAGAACCCCGGCAAGTAACGCCTTGGCTCCTGTGCTGATAACAAAACACAACAATTGGATATCCTGCAGCAAAACGTCCCAAACCACCCACCTGCAACTCCGACCCCAAAAAAACGCAAAAGCATACAAAAGCAAGATCAAACAAGGTATAGGAAGCAAACAAAAACCAAACCATACGACATGCGTCTTCAATGATAGCTCGCCACATGATATGATCGTTCGCGTCGCGTCGGTTCGCGTGCGCAAACAAAGGCGTCAACAAGTCCGGTCCTTAAGGCCTGTTCCCATTCCAAGGCCTTCTCACAAGCGCTCATCGCCACGTTACCCGCTGCAGAGGAGATCAGCGCGCGAGTGGAGGAGGTCGAGATCAGCAGGTGCAAGGCATCGGGCCAACGCCAAGCAGTCTCATAACAGCTAAGGAGGGAGACAAAACCTGCAGGGTCTTTTTGGAAGTGATGAACTCCAGTTTCATGCATATATATGTAGCTTCTCCTGCTGGGTTGGGAGTTGGTGGAAAGCTGGGTTGGAGAAATGGAGGAAATGAGGAAGCTAGAATACCCCTGCTGATGAAAGAAGTCTTGCAGCAACTGGCCTGGAGGACCACTATTCACAGGGGGATGTGACGGGACGAAGACATGACAGTGGCGGGCTGCAGGAGAGAGACACAGCATACAGGACTCAAAGCATTTGTTTGACAGTGACATTTATCGCGGCTTCATCGAATCATGGCAAATGATGGATCTTCGAGATGATGTAGGATCACTGCTCCTTCAACAGCATGTTTAGACATTCTATAGTCTGTATAGATGTGTTTACTCAACAAAGCAAACAGTTTTCCACAGTTCCTATCGTCACCTCTTTCCATCAAAGGTGGAGCTTTAAGAAGTCAAAGCAAGTCAAAGAATACTCCCAAGCCCTGTCCAAAAATCGTCCTCTTCAGGAGTCATCTTCCACATTGTTCCACTTCCCACCCCCCAAAAAAAGAACTATCTATAGATGCTTCTCTCAATAAATAAAGAGGCCACTCGTCTTCTGACGCCCACATCGATGCAAGTCTTGTAACCTACAACAAAAAACATGTTTTGTCCAGAAGGGGATTTGTATACGATTTCATTTACCCATGGAGCCCAGACTGGATCCACTAATATAAAGAAAAAAAAACCTGATCAGTCCACCAGGTCGAACGTAATCACTCTTGTCTACTCCCTGGATCGACAGACCCCAAAAAGACCTTCGAGCCGACGATCAGCCCCCCTGGATGGATGGGGGGTTCGCTTGGGGGTGGGGAGGTTCGCCTCGAAAACCTTGGAACTACATGCCCACATTGACCCCATCCATGTCTGACCCATCCATGGTTTCTGACCCATTTGCCTGGGAGGGGTCTCCTTGAACCTTTTTGGAGCTACACACCTTGCCATGTCATCCGAGCAGCTCACCACATTTGGTTGCACCCGGGCACCCTGCATGGCGTCGAACAGTACCCTGGCGCGCTCCACGCCCGACGGGGCGCTCCGCAGGGCGCTGATGGCGGCACTGTAGCCTGGGGAGCTGAGCTGGGTGGGGAACGAAGCATCCAAGCCTGAAAAAACTGGTTTTGAGCCTAGGGGGTTGGTTGATTTGTCTATATATCTATATACTGTAGCAGTTCCTATGTATTTTCGACTCTCCATACCACACGCAAGTCAGGGGTAGCATGGAGATGTGCGCAAACTGTATGACCCTTGCAGTGACCTTTTTTGTCGCTGGAATTGAGACCGTAGCTGATATGAAAAACATATCATGCAGTAAACACCTCCCAGCTACATGTTGGAGCAGGGCGATGGAAAAAGAATCAACTGGAGGGACTGGGAAGGAGTCTTGAGCCACTGATGCTGGTTTGGGGAACGGGCATGGATTTCCATAATCGATTTGATGACCTTGGGAAGAAGCGAATTGCCATGGCTGTCCTTCATGACTCCCTCCGCGAACTTGACAATCAGGTCATTCAGCCGCATGTCTGGGTTGCTGTATGAGTTTGGGGTGTTTTTTTTCCTTCGAGATAGAGCACAGAACTGGAGTTCAAACTTTATATCACAGTGTCGACTGCCAATTGTGGACTGCATGAGTCGGGGCTAGTTGTTGGTGATTCTATACCACTCCTAGTCACTCTCAGCTACTCCGTGGGAGGCAATTCCTCCAGCTCTTCGATCGATCAATCCACGCCCCGTCGGGAGACTGCGCATTGCAGATCCAGCGTTCGTGAGGGACTGCCCTGTGTTAGAAAGATGACTCTCGGATACACAGAAGTGTCATGCCGTCACACAGAAGTCCATTACTGCCCTGTGTGACTGCCCTCAGAAGTCCATCTCTGCCATAGAAAGATGTTTCGAGTTACCCTGTGACTCCCCAGATATGACTCAGTCCGGAGTGGAGATGAGAGGAGTGGAGTGTCTGGGTATACGATACACGAAGCCTCATATGACCTGAAATGGCATCTCATTGAAATGGACTGAATAGCTATTGGAATACTCTACCCTAGGCTTCCAACAACAAATAACTGAATAGGCTCTACCGAATCAACTAAGGACATTACACTACAACAACCAGGTCAACACGGTCAACATGTTCTTTTTTTTAATGGTCTTCGAAGTCTAGGGTCTTAGAAGTCAACCATGGATGGATGCTTTCCATGGAAAAAGTCATATATATGCTGCCTCTTCCAGTCCCATGCAGTGTGGAATATCACCCAAAACACGTGAGGAACGCGCGAAGCACATCGCCGGACGTCCGTCCTCGCCGAGGAGCTGACGACGGACGCCGTCCTCCGCCGCCCGAGCTCGTCCAAGAGGCTCAGAGCCTGCGGAGAAGAAGAGGTGGAAAACCGGAGCGGACAACTCAGGGATAAAGCAGTGCAGGGAGGTCCAAACGAAGACTTGTGCGGGTCACTGGACTCAATCACATGTGACTCAATCAGTTGAAGCCTATGACTCAAATGCAAGGGTGCAAACGGACCTCATTCATTTTCAATGCCAATGGCGTATGTTTTCACGAGACCTGTTTGGAGGGGGGGTCTCGCTCTTCCCATTGGCGGTTGTTGGGCCCTTCCCATGGCGGGTGGGCCTGAACCCTCATGGTGTGGAACGAGCGTCCGTCGCCCAATGACCACCAGTCCGACAGAACCGTCGCCGAGGTTTGGTGTGGATCTGACGCTTGCATTTGCTTGTTTCTCGGACCCTAAAGAAAAAGAGGAGAACATAGGAGAACAAGCAAATGCAAGCAAATGCAAGAAACCAAGACCTGGTTGGTGTCGGACCTGGGGGGTTCCATCCCCAGATCTTATCAGGGGAGGGGATTTAACCAGTTCGGAAAGCACAATTTGCCTGATCCGCAAAACCAGGTGATACTGCTCACCCATGAGCCAAACATGATCACTGGGATTGGAATTGACCACAGAACGACCCCAACCACCCCAACTCATCGTATAATTATGGCTGTGGGTCATTTCACCCCCAAGAGAGATTCCTACTTCCATTCATCAATAAACAGAGTTCAGGTGAGCTGGCTTTGTAGTCTAAAGTTCATAGCAAAACAAATGGCTCTTTGGGGAAAAAATACCTTTCCGTCAATGGTTGGCCAGAAACCCTGGGGTACTGTCTTCACCGGCTCCCGACAGTGGACGTCACTGCGACACGACTCAGGAGATAAACAATGCAAGGACATCATGGCCACAAAAGACCAAAGAAGGCGCCTGAAGAGTTTGATGTCGGACCGACGTTCATGGTCAGTTAATCAGTTTTCCTGCGAGAATCATGAGATGCATGGCCAAGTGCCTTGCCAGCGTTTCATAAAGCACATGTCACATGTCCATTGAACAAGAGACTTTTTCGATTGAAACGGGCTCCAGCACTGCGCAGGGCTGGCAAGTCTGCCTCCCACAAACAAACTTGAATTGCACCTGGGTTCTTGGGCAACTTCGCTGCTTGAAATCCGAGATCGCCTTGCAAGAATTCCAAGCTCGCCTGTTGCACGTCAGTAGTGTCCCACGGTTTCCGAGATTTGCCATACCCAGTGATGATCAGGCATGTCGACTCCTTCTCCTGCTCCAGCTTGGTGGCCACTGCAGTGGAGAGCCAATGACCCAGCACAACAAGGGCAGTTCCCTCCGAGAGGTCATGAAGGTCGATCTCTGAAGCGCCGCAGCACTTCAATTCCAGAATCTCTGGTAAGTTGCACTTCTCAAACATAGTTCCGCCAATGGCACTGTCCCGAATTTCAGCACAATCAAATAAGGCATTGTAACTTACCAGATTTGGTCGCACATTTGCCTCGGACATGGCCTCAAACAACTTCAATGCTTGCTGCCATTGCCCGCCCTTCTCGCAGGCACTGATGGCGGCAATGTAGCTGATCACCTCGGGCTGAACTCTTGAGGTAGGCATGGCCTCAAACAAGATCAATGCTTGCTGCCATTGCCCGCCCTTCTCACAGGCACTGATGGCAGCACTGTAGCTGATCACGTTGGGCTGAACTCTTGCGGTAGACATGGCCTCAAACAAGATCAATGCTTGCTGCCATTGCCCGCCCTTCTCACAGGCACTGACGGCGGCATTGTAGCTGATCACGTTGGGCTGAACTCTCGCAGTAGGCATGGCCTCAAACAAGATCAATGCTTGTTGCCATTGCCCGCCCTTCTCACAGGCACTGATGGCAGCACTGTAGCTGAACACGTTGCGCTGAACTTTCGCTGCAGGCATGGCCTCAAACAACTTCAATGCTTGCTGCCATTGCCCGCCCTTCTCACAGGCACTGATGGCAGCACTATAGCTGAACACGTTGCGCTGAACTTTCGCTGTCGGCATGGCCTCAAACAACGTCAATGCCTGCTGCCAAGCTTTTGCCGTGGCACAGGTGGATATTCCAACTGTGTAATTCGACGCATTTAGCCCTATGCTTCCATCTTCCTGGATTGCCTCAAAAGTAGCATGCACCAGCTTCGCTGCTCTCTTTTGCTGGCGCAAACCTCTCAAAACCAGCCCAAGGAGTGCCTTCGAGCGCCGCACTTCCGCTAGCAGAATGGCTTTAAGAGACTCAAGATTTCCTTAGTCTCGTTTTGGTAACCTACTACAAGCAAGGCCCCAGCTAACACCAGTATCTTCAAATATCTTGATATGTAGTGGTCACTCTGCCGGTACTGCTTCTACAGGTTGGCCATGTCCAAGAAAACACAATTCAAAACATCCACGTGTCCTGCAATCTCCGCTTGGCACAGTTTATGCACCAATCTATCCGCCACTTCAGAATCGTTTGACATCTTTCTGCGGCCGTTGGACCTGGAGATGGATCTCAAAAACTCTGAACCCCTCTAGTGGACAGGGTGAATCCTTTCAGACTTATGGTTGACATACAACCTTCTGGCAAATATATACAATTATATTGTATATATATATATATCCCCATGCAGGTATCTCCAGTATGGGAGGCTGTCAAATGCCTTGTATTCCGCTGTAAACAACTAATTTTGTCTTTCGGACTAGTTCCCACCTCGCTGATCTCTCTTCTCGAACTCGTCTCAAAGTCCTCCGCCGGATCTCCTTCGACTGTTCTCGAAGGCAAACCAGGCCCAGCACCACAAGGAGGCCAGCAAAAGGTAGTCCAGGCTGCAGAAGTGAAGCCGCAGGCGAGTGGCTGCACTGAAATTGCCATTTGCCTCTCCTCAGATTCGTTTTGCAAATCATTGCAAATCAGTATGATATGTCCTGTAGAAGCCTTGTAGAAATATGCAGCGACTTTGCAATTCCATGCAGTTTCTATAGGTTCGTAATGGTTCGCCCGGTGGAAACATACAGTAATGTCTATCTGCAACAATCTTACAAGTCGTATCTTTTCAACTAGTCTAGAAAACTCATAAACACTCACTTCATCACCGCAGTACTGACTTGGCACTCCCTGGTTTCCGGTTGCTTTTCCAAACATCAAACACATAAAAACCTCCAGGAGAGTGCTCCTACCTTGAGCCCTTCCGAATAAGGTGCCAAAACATGTGGACAAATATAGGACATACGTCTCACCACCCAAAGGGTCGTGGATCACCATCCCAGAGAGCTGTATAGACCCACCCCTCAAACCATGTGTTCATCATCCCATCTTCACATCAAGGCCACCAAGGCTTTGAGCTCAGGAGGTGCTCGAGCTCCGCTCGTCGAGGCCGTTGGCACTCTACACTTCGGCCGTTGGCGCAGACGCTGGGCAAAGGCACCATGCCGAAGAGATACATGGCAGCGGTGCAGTGCTAAAGCCCTGCCGGCCCTTGACCCGAGTTCTTGAAGTCCCCAACGTGAGGACACGATGTGTTAAGTGCATATAGTATTATGTGTGTAGTATGTAGGTGGGTGTGTTGGTGTCTATGTATTTATGTACCTCTTTTTGGAAGACCTGCTCGGGCCAGTGAAAACCGAGCATTTCGGCCTACTTGACCCTGCTAGGTTGACCGGGCCCCCAGTAGTGTTTCGGTTCATTTTCAGTGGGCGAAACCGGTCAGTCCCCCTTTGCCATGACCCACTGCCATACATTTCAGACCTTCCATATTTGCCCATCAGTTAGGGTCGTTCATCCGGATTCGTACGTCCCATGGATGGCCATGACCCATTAGAGTTCGTCCCGCCGTCGTGGGGGCGCGGGTCGTTTCCGTGCTCCGCCTGTGGCCATTGGCCAGCTTTCTCGCAAGAACCTCAGGGCGCGCGGCGCCGGTCCGCGCTGTCCGCGTGGGCACAAAGGCAGACCCCACCGGTCAAACTGCGAGTTCGGCGTGGTGCTGCGTGGACTGGAACGCCCCGGTGGTGCAAAATCGGAAGGACATCGCGAGGACTGGACCCTGGCGATCAAATGGTTTGGCACGAACAACCACGATAGATGGAGGGGAATGGATTTACAAGCAAACACGCGCAATTGCTTTACAAGCACTCTTCGTTCCGATGGAGAACTCAGCATAGCGCAGTTGCCCAAACTGTATCAATTTATAACAAAGATTTCTATAAATTATGGTAAAACATTGTCTTTGTAAAACAACAAATGAATGATATCCTAACAACATCGTACTATGGTAAATTGATAAAATGTCGCTTGGTTTATGTACTGATAACAAAGTATATCAAAGTATGATAGCACCAGCCAGGGAATGCTGAGAGAGCACTGCGCCACCCCAGCCCTAGACCTGCGCCCCATGGCAGTCCAGGCGATCTTTCTCAGGGGTTCTTACCAAAGCTAGCTAGCTGCACAGTCTTCAGTGTCTCCCCTACCATTCAAGTTTTTGTTGGCCAAGCAGCCATTGTTTTACTAAGGACTTTAGACTGCAACCCCGATACAACATGTCTTTAAACGGTCGTCTAGCCGAGTCAGTGATTGAAAACTGACCGCCAGACCGTTTGCTTGGAAATGGAAGACACATGCCTGATGAGGTTTGAGTGGAATGATTGAAGGAAGTTAAATCGAGGACCTCCCAAGACCTCGGGCCTAGTCTTTAGGGCAAAGTGCAAAAGAGAAAACAACGTGCAAGAAAGGAGACGCCGCCATGAGCTAGATCTAGTGGACTTGGTCATGCCATGTATGCGGTTCTCAGCTTAGTGACTGACAAAAAGACACGCAGGTATACATTCATGGGGGGTAAGCGGTTTCCTTTGAACCAAGCCAAAGTGATAAAGAGGCTGTCCTAAAAAAAAGAACTGAGCAGGCGCATGTGTACGTAAGAGAAGACAAATGAGAGGAGATGAAAAAGAGACCTGGAACAGATTCCATCCAATAAGATGAAACGGATGAATCACTTGGAACATCCCTGGTTTCGGAACCGAGAGGGACAACAAAAACCAACAAACAGGACATCCCAGGCTCAAGGGGATTTCACCAGTTCGGACCCGATGTGCAGGACCCCGAGCGCATTTTGCTACGCACGAAAGAAGTCTGCATCGGTCAAGGCACTGATGGCTGCGTTGAAGCAAACGACATCGGGAAGCACCTGGTGCAAAAGTCATTGGCTGCTGATTGCTGGGACAAAATGTCCAAGGGTGTCCATGAAAAATCAGCGGCTGCAGCGCTGAATCCTGCTGAAAGTCTCAAGCTGATCCAAACCAGCAGGTACTCCCAAACCATTCGTGGGACTGGACGAGTTGCATGCAACTCTGCTACTGGTGCCACCTCCATGAATGTTGATACGAAGAAACAATTGCAAATCTAAGCATTCTGGCATGTTCCTGCTGAAACTATTTCTATGTTAAGACTATATGCTTATGTGGATTTCATAAACACGACGTGGTCCAACTATGTACTAACATGACTTGGGTCTTACCTAGATCTATAGTACTTACAGTGACCTTTTCAAGGCCTAAGTGACCTCATTCTGGGATCTCAAGTTCGGTCACTGGGAAGGTCCTGGAGGCCTGGGTCTTTACATGGACTTCTTTCTTGTCCTACGGATCCAACCCGAGCCAGGCCAACGGTCGCACGCCAGGTGCACCTCCTCCCGTGCCATCTGCCGCAGAAGCTCCAGCGCCCATGGCCAACGCGCGTGGCCTGCGCGCGCCACGGTGCTGATCGCGGCCGCGAAGGCCAGCGGCGCCGCGGCGTCGCGAGGCGTGGCAAGGAGGAGAAGGAGAGCATCTTGCCTGGGAGAGCATCTTGGGCCGATCAGTTGTGGTTGATTTCAGGAGTCAACTATCAAATGTGGTAAATAATGGTCAAAATTCCATACTCAAACACTTGTCTTGAATGGAATGGTTGCATGGCTCTCCCCATTTTCTTCACCATGACCGATCCACCCATTTTCAGGTCAGCTTCAGTCCCACCAGGATGTCGTGTCTGGAAGAGGACAGAGGTTGTTGGGGGTCTGGTCCGGGGATTCAATCCTAGGGCTACTGACGACTACCTGAGAAGATGGCTGGGGTGGATGGTTTTGGGGGGTATAGCCACCGAACGATATGGTGAAGTCGCCCTTACCGGGTAAAAGAGAAAAAATGCCAAACTGATTTCTTCCAGCTCTGAGGGAAAACCACAAGAATGCTTCGCAGAAAGATGCTGCTGCAGCTATTTTGATGGATGGACGATGGCGAACAGTAACCCTCCGGAACTGGTGCTCCATGGTGTGAGCTCTTCTGGGACGGTGAAATTCGGACGAGCACGAATTTCCACATATAGTGGTCCCCAACTAACGAGGTAGAAACGGTTTCCAATAATTACATGTTTTAATATGTTTTATATAGTGGGGATTTACTGTTCTATCATGTTCTATCAATTTGGGGGTCTGTACACTACCACATCTGCTCTGATGTCTTAGGTTTTTCTTTTAAGGTGTGTTTCGTGCTAAACACCGCCGGAGCCAAACACTGGGCTCTCAGAGATCTCAGGAGCCTGCTTCAGATCTTAACAGGGCTCTCACTCAGTGAGCTTGCGGAGCTTGGGGTCTCTGGGTCCTAAACTTGGAAACTCATTGACTTTTCCGCACTGAGCTGCGAGCCGCCGAACACAAACAGTCTTTTCCTCTACAGGGGATTCAGGGGATGGTCCACTTCCACGTTTGTAGAAAGATAAGAGCTCTTCCAACGCTAAGGTCTTGTTCCCTTTTCACCGTGCCACCATGCTGTGGCTTCCTCCGCTGCACTGATGGCCACGCTGTAGCTGACGGCGTCGGCCGAGGCGACCTGCCGAGCGCGGCCAGCGAAGTCCCAGCTCTTTGGGGCTCATCTTCCCCCTTCCAGGTGATACTTTGAAAGTGAACAGGTAATTAGTGACGAATTCAGCGTGACTAAGGCAACTAAGGCCGAATACCTGCTTGAGCGAACTAAAGGGCAAGAATGTCTGCTAAGGCCTATGAGCCTATGACTGAGGTTGCCCTCATGTGCTCCCGCAGGTGCCTCCACCATCTTTGCGAAGAGCTCCAACGCCGCCTGCCACGCCGCCGCACGGACGCAGCCACTGAGGACCACGTTGGTGGCAACGGACCTCATCGGACTGGTGGAATGACGGCGGCTGAAGACGCACATTGCAATATCATTTACTCCATTTATGACCCGATATAAGTGAGTACCCTTCCTCCAACACTCATGGAAGTGGAGCTGCTGCAAACAGGAGATTGTCCACTTCCATGTTTGTTTCAGGGAATGTACAGTAACTATTCCAGTCCCAGTTTGATGGGCTTAGACGCTCTGGGATGCCTCACTCCTCGGCCAGGTGTGAAATCGATGACCTTTGGCCCAATGGCGATCGATTGGGCTGCGACCTGTGATCTGGAAACATCATCGAAGTCACGATCGGAGCAATCGATCGACTCTCAAACACGCCCAATCAATCCTTAGGGCTCCTGGCCGCCCCCTCCGTTTCGAAGGTGGTTATTATAAGGGTGGATTTTGGGGGGGTCTACCCACCGAACCTGAGGACTGGCATATGATGAACTCAGAAACGGCCGACCGGGGTCGTTGATTGATTGACACGGCTCGCCGACGTCGCCCGTCGGTCGGGCTCAGTGTCCCAAACATCTGCAAACAGAAGGGAGATAGCTGGATCCTCGTTTGGGCGGAGAAGAAACGCCGGACCCTGTAAAGTGCTGGACTGAAGATCTAGGTATAGCGTCCAATTTTCCTGGATGGCGTCGAGACCTGTGGGATTGATGGATTGACATGTTTGTTTGTCATTCCCAATGGTCTTTTGGTGGTTTGACCCTTTGGACGCAACAAAAGATGATGTTCAACAAGTAATACTGACAAAAGGAGTTCCACCACAATGTATAGGTCACAAACTTGAGACAACATCACTGATTCCATCGAACATGTGCCTGTCTGAAAACGAAAACCTGTGAAAACAGCCATCGGCTTTCTTCGGGTTTCACCTTTACTCATACACTCCATGGGGACTGGACGTTTCATGCCGACCACATGGCGATTTCCAGCTCTCCGCGATGGCTCGAGCAGCTAGGTCCGTCCTGCCAGGCGTCCGATGCTCCGCGGCTCGCAGCAACTCCAAGGCCACCGGCCACGAGGGCCACACGCCCGTGACGCAGCTCGTGATCCTGGGCGGGTTTGGACGGCGGCTTTTTGGGGAACAAGAGAACCCTGGGGGCTCCCAGTACCTCCTTAGAAGGTATGACTGGACCCTCTAAACCCACCCCAAACACCTTCTCAGAAGGTACTTGGAGGCCTAGGGGAAGGGTTCTTCTTCTCCAATGGACAGCGAATGCAAACATCCGAAGATATCTCTTACCTCGGCATACATGCGACCAAGACAATCGATCCAAAACATGAGATTAGGAACCGCATCTCGGCAACTATGGCAGTCCTCAACAATTTGGACATTCTTTGGCTCAACACTCGCTGCAGCAAAAAATGGAAGCTGTTAGTATACGATATGGTCTGGAAGTAAACCCACGCAGGGGGGCGCCGCAGCTTCTCAACACATTCCAACTCAAAGGACTTAGAAACATACTTAATTTACGAACTACCTACATTCAACGTGAAAATACCAATGAATTAGTTTACAGCACAGCCAATGAAGCACTCAATGCGCCAACTGCAGGGCCATTCAGGAAAGTAAAACCCATGACAGAGAAACTTGAAGAACGGACACTGCGAAACTCGGTGCTTCGAAGAGAAAAACAACACCCGCAACACCACTTTCTCCACAGCATCAGCAATGCCAAGAGAAACGACACACCGCAGGGTGGGAAGACCAAGACTCTGCTGGACCACAAACAACACGAAAAAGTCCTGGGATATTGTGTGTATCAATAACCAAGCTCAGCCAAGACAGCATTTCAACAAGTATTAATCGCAATATGAGAGAACAAACTGTTGCACAAACAAAGCAATATCAACCACCCTTTCAGTAGCATCCTTTCAGAAAGCAGTCGCAAGAATCACCTCTCAGTGTGAATATCCTCAATGTGAATCTCAGTGTGAAATCACCTCACCTTCACGCCTCATGCGTTTGCTTATTTGATCTAAGTCAATGGTGGGCAAAGTGAGTGCGCCGGTTAGGTTGTATATATGCATCGTCTTTTGAAGTAGGTTAGCGCCAACGACTTGACGCCTTGATAGGTTGGATAGTTATGGCGAAAAAAGGAGAAGGGTTCGATGCCAGGTACCACGTATTTTTTGTTGTTCACTTGGGGGTGTCCCCTCTATTCATCAACCAACTCATGGCAAAAGGCCGTCTATGTTCTCCCCATTTCTCCGCTGATGAAGTCGGTTTCTCCGCGTGCTTTGAAAGGGTTGCTTTGTGTCCAGTGGTGTCCATTGTTCTTTTTTGCAACACTGTCATGTCAAAGTATTGTGTTTTAGAAATTCGAACATATCAAGACCGTCGGTGATGTTTGTATGTCAAAAATATATGTAATTCCTTGAAGAATGACGCTAGTACTGGTTACTGTACCATCTTTGATTGATGAGGCCTGAGATGGTGTTCTGGTTTGGTTTAACTTGCTTTTGCCTCGATCTGAAAAGGCTGCACGCCACCTGAAAAGGCTCCCCAAAGTGGGTTAGTCCCCAATCGATAGTTGTTTTTTCAGATTTAGTTCCATCAGATTTGATTGCAGATGTTGGCGATTTCGCGAATCGTTGATTTAGTCGTGACATGCAACAAACCGTTCCATGTAAGGGTTCATGGGAATGTTCTATTTCAAAGAAGGAATCAAAAATGGAAAACGTCAGGTGATGATCTTCCCCAACACAAGTATTGCCACTAAGTGTTGCATGAAAAGAATCATATAGTATATACATGAAAAGTATTGCCACTAAGCTGGTTGGTGTAAACGGTGGTTGGTAACCAGCAAGCAGTAACAGCGGATGATGCCTGGCGTATTCTGAAAGAAAAAAACGGGTTTGGTGTAAATCGTGGTTTGGCGTACACGGTGGCTGGTGACAGCCATGGCTTCGTGTGAATGGTAGTTGGTGTAAAGCTTGATTTGGGATAAGCTGTGGTTGGCATAGACCATGGTTGGTGTAATTCAACCGTGCTTTGGTGCAAGCCGTGGTTGGTATAGACCGTGGCTTGGTGTAAACGGTGTTTCGTAAACAAACCGTTGTTTTGGTGTAAACCGTAAACCGTGGTTGCTTTAAACCATCAAAACAGCAAGCAAACAGCAAGCAGCAAGCAGCAGCAGCTGATGATGAGTGGCATTAGTAGGAGGAAGTGTTCATGAGGCAGCTTGACGAGATGATAAGCTCATGGCCATCTCCAAGAGGGCATCAAACTCTGTCACACTCACCCACTCCCCGTCCGCGGGGAGAGTTGAACCCGCGGAGGGGGGGGTGTCCATAACATTGCTTTATATAATCAAATAATTGCTTTCCGAGGCGCTGTCCACCCCGTCATTTTATGTCATTTTATTTGCTAAAGCAAGGCTGCCAGGCTAGCTTTCGTGAATGGGCCATGCATGGGCGGATGGTCTGGGCATACTGAGGTCTGAACGGTCTGAACAAAAATTGCAGTCCAAGCATCGCAGCATTTCGCGTGATGGTGTTTGGCTGCACTGCAGCGCTTCCCATTAATTCCTCGGAGCTCGGCAGTTGATCAGACTGGTGAGCGCTCTCTACTCAAAGAGAACTTGACTTCACCCACTTTAATCCCACTTTCTGGCGTTCTTTCAGAACATCCCACGGTAAAAGACCAGTCGTCGCATTCCACCTCCTCCGACCAGTCCGTCCGAGTGCATTGAGGGAGTCTCACAGGCCGACTTACGCTCCATTTGGTGGAGAACCAAGGGGGTCGAATAGCTTCTTGTTACTAGAAGCGATGCACTTGTTTCTAATAGCAAACATTGTTACTACTAGTAAGGCACTTGTTACTACTAGCGTGAGGATATGGTGAAGGAGCCAGGAAGAGGCAGATACGAAATCGTGAAACATGGGGCCCACGACGTACGTTTTTGCACAGGGGTGGACCAGTGCTGTAAATTTCCGGTCAGTTTTCCTGCAACATCACGGTGAAGCAAACGTTCTACCTGGATTTCAGTAGGCCCCGAATCCATCCATCACTTTTTGTGTGTTTAATTTATACAAGTTATCTTGGATCTGCGGCTCCCAGGAGCCTTGACAGAAAAAACAACAAAAAGCACAATAACTTAAATTTAACACGACATCTGCACGTTAGGGGATATCACCAGTTCGGGAAACATGAACAAACATCACCTGTTCACAGCCAGTTCACCCAGACTCCTGTTCGGGCACTCCTGTTCGGGCACGATCCCTCCATGGAGCCCCCCCCAGCCTGGTTTGGCACCAGCCCAACAAGCTGCCTCGTTGGGGGACCCCTGGTTGGTGTTCCAAAACCCGAGGTGAGTCCCGCCCAGCAAGCCTTGCTGCTTCGCTGCTAAAAGGTTCAAGACTTGTGGCCATGGTTGTCCAGTGATCACTGTGCTGTAGGAGATCACATCCTGGAGACGGTGGCACAGTCGACTCACACACAGGCACCAGCGATTTTGTTGGGAAGGCTTCTCTCAAAAAAAAGCAGCTGGCCAGAAGAACACCAAATCACTTATAAAGTAGGAACAAGTGCCACGCTAGTAGTAACAGGTGCCTTACTAGTAGTAACAATGTTTGCTATTAGAATTAATTTAGAATTAGTTTAATTCCAATTTGTTATTAACTTATATACACTATCACCAACACAGACTTTCAAGAGGAACCGTCTCAAAAACACTCATCGATCTGTGGCGAACATCCTTCATTGATTGGTCCCGTATCTCTGGTATGGCCATGTCCTGGCAACATTTGGAACAACCTTCCAGTGGAGGGACCGTGGATCTGTTATTTTGAGTACTCTCCCTGCAACTAACATGGAAGTGGACAACCCCCTGTTTGTAGAGGAAAATGGTCTTCCAAGGGGCCATTCTCTACTTCCATGTTAGTTCTAGGGAGTGTAACTAACGTATCTGTGAGTTTGCCAAACGGAATGCAAACGTATCAGTGCTCCATGGTCGTGTAGCTCACCACGGCGTCGCGGGGGAACCACACAGAAACCCATTCCCCAGACACTCCATGGGACTGCCATATATGCCGCCCCATTGACCCCCCAAAACCACTTCAATGTAGGCATATATGGCATACATGGAGTGTCTGGGGAATGGGTTGGCAAAGTTTTTGCTTTCGCCTCCCACATGAGATGTGACGACGTGCGGCACCGCTTCCGTGCCCCGCATACAGAACGGGGCTTCGAAGCTGCAGTGGAGCAGTGCTGCCAAGGCTCAGGCAGCAGTTTCATCTGGGGCATGGCCCTGAAGAGACTCAAAGCCTGGAAGGCAAAACATCAAAAGAGCTGGTTGGGTTAGGTGGGGGGAGGTATCCCAAGATTGATGGAACAACATTTTTTCAATATGGCGTCACATGTGGGGGTGGTTTTTTAGTCCCATCCAGTGAGTGGATAATGGGCACCCCAAACCTCCATGGATCGCACCCCGTCGAACGTGACTGCTGGAATATGGATCTTCTACAAACTATATATATTTTTTTTTTTGAGTGTGTACTTTACTAGGGAGACACCCAAAATCTCGTCCCTGGCTGGGTAGACTGGTCTATTTTCCGAACCTGGCAGGGGATCGGAATGCCGGCGGTTCGGTCTCCCTATTCTAAGATATGTGTTTGGATCAGTCCAGAATGGCAATAGAATCCTGGAACTTCACCAAAGCTTACCCTACTTGCCTGGCCTTCTAACATAGTTTCAGGCCCCCAGGCAAGCAAGTAGAGATGAGCCCCCCCCATGACATCTCTGGGCTTACAACCACATCCAACTGCCATTGGTTTAATAGTGTTTCCCGACAGACAACCATATCCCTAGGGCTTCAAGTACTTCCTGAAAAGGTATTTGGACCCCTCCAACCCACCCCAAACACCTTAGCTATACCTGCATGAACGAGTCATTTTCATTCAAGGAGAGCCATGTCCATTTCCTCTTTCCAGTCCCAGGACGCCCCGTCCCTCGTCCCAACTCGTCCCTCAGCTCTCGCCTGCGTCTGTGCCGCCGCCTTGGCGCAGGCGCTCAAGGCCGCGTTGACGCCCACGACGTCGCCCGCCAAACGTGTCTGCGTGGATGCCAAGGTGAAGAGCTCCAAGGCTTGGCGCCAGTGGTTGGCCTGAGGCCGGAGGGCTGGTGCTGGTGGCCTTTTTGGTGGAGCTCCGGGGAAAGGGGGTGGAGCTGGTGCTGGTGGTACCCAAACACTCCATGTGTGGCCTCATGTGGCAATATACACAATATATGTGGCATATTTATTAGTGGAATAGTTTCAGGGTTTAATGTAAGCACTAGTGTGTGTAGTCCAAATACATGAAGCGTTTGGTTGCCGCAAATCTGGGGAGACTTTCTTTCGGAGGCGTCAAAGAACGCCTTCGCTAAGCTGAGACGACCATCAGTTCACTTGGAGGTGCCGAACTTGGAGGTGCCCAATGCGTGCCCAATGGGTGCCCAGAACATCCACTCATTGGACTCAAAAGCATTCCGAACGGCCCATCTCCTCAGGTTCGATGGTATTCGACCCCCCCCCTAACCACCGACAGTGCCAGTCCCACCTTCGAAAACGGAGAAACGGCGGACCCCGGAGCCCTAGGGATCTATGGACCTCAGAGAGCCCTAGGGATCTAGGGAGCCCTACCAGTAGAGGGTAGTGTTTGCCTTGGGCTTTATAGGAATTGGGTTTTGCCTTGGGCTCTGTCGCACTTTCGACCTCCGTTGCATGGAACGGAAATGGGCGGTGATGACGTTGCCACCGGTTTTGGGCGAGTCCTTCGTTGGAGAGGATGAGTTCTTGGGATCTTCCCCAAGATCTTGCAAGAAAGGGATGCAAAACAAGAAGCAGTTCATGTCTATAAAGTCCATGTCACAACTGGAGTTCCTGAACGCAAACACCACAAAGGTTGGGCCTTCAACTACAAAGGAAAAACTTCTCAAAAATCACCCAGTGCCCCAAAACATCCCAGCAACCTATGCTGTTCCGTGACACTCCTCAGTTTCCCTGGACAAAGTGGTTTGCAAGTTCCCTGTCTCGAACAAAAAGAACCAAACACACACAAACACAGACACACAAACACACACCCACACACACCCACACGCACCTTCTCACACGCACTGATGGCGGCGTTGTAGCTGATGATGGAAGGTTCCACCGCTACCGTGTCCATGTACTCCAGGAAGTGGAGCGCCTGCTGCCATTCACCCGCCTTCCTGGGGGCGCGAGGCCGTGAAGAACACATGGGACCAAGGTCCCAATTGGGATAGGCATGGACACATGGACTCCGGACTGGCACGAACTTCAGGGGTTTGTCGATGAAGAAACCTCAAGGATCACCCACGTTCCTTTCGGACTTCAATGTGTTGAGGGTAATCTGTGCTCCTCTCCACAGAATGTTACTTGGAATCATGGATCCACTAATAATGTACCGGCCGGTATTCCATTTGTTGGTTTTGTAAACTGGGAATTGAAATCATACATTTGAAATAAACATAGGTTTTGACAATTCTGGTGAATTTCCAACAGTCTGGAAATGGGACTGTTAGTCCTGACTCCTGATCAGTTCGAGTGGTTTTCTGCAGGGCTCGATGGGGCGGCATATCTTCTCCATTGGTTCTGTCTGGGAAGTACATCTGCCCACGTGCCCAACGGGAGCTCAGCTTCCCAAGCCCCAGAACAAAAGATGGTGTCCAAAAGACTACCCGGACAAAAAGGACTTCCACCACAATGTCGCTCACAAGTTTGGGGAACTGATTCCATCGAATGGTCCATGTTTTCGTTCCTAATGCCATTAGCACCGACAAAAACTTGATGTAACTACGTGGGATGCGCTTGGGAAAAGCTGAGCTTCTCACATGAGCTGATGACGGAGTTGCAGCTGATGACATTGGGTTTCACTTCACAGTTCTGCATTGAATCCTTGGATTTTGCGGGTCACCACTGTGCTGCCGGGGGATACTGCGATGGCCATATGTGATGGATCGGGATTCCGTGTCTGGGTTCACCAAGAAGCTGGCTATAGTCAGAAGAGGTGGAGTGGGGATATAGCAGGAAGTCTCGGAACACGGTAACACGGGCTCCTGTTTAACTTTTGGTGCCCCTTTGTCTCGGGCTCTTGAAGCCTTGCGGGTTGTAAAAATGCAGTATACAGTATACATTGTCCACTTGATGAAACTGAACCATCTTCAAAAAAAACAATTCTCGGAACGCATCTGTTTGTAGGGTGCGAGCACGCAAAGGTGACAACATGCGCTATACCAACCCTAGAGACCAGCAAGCTGGCATTTGCCTTCTAAAATGACCAGAAACGTGCTATGGAGTGACAGTTCTGGTGCTCGCCTCCTGGTGACGCAATGATGAACAGGCCCAACTAAGGAGGAATCTTGCATGCTCCGACTGGAACATTGATTTGGACATCCAGGATCGACTGATGGGTTTGTCCGGTTCCTTGTGGCAGTAAAGCAGCCATGGGACTTCTGCGCCTGGGAGGAATCAAAGGTGCCAAGATTAAAGGAACTGGAGACAAACCATCTGAGATCATCTGCGCCATTTGCGGTCATCACGACAACCGCGAACAACCCTGTCCAGATTCTCGCCTGGAACCTTGAGGCCAACGCTTGGCCGCGCCCTTGCTCGCGGAAGATTAAACCTTTGCCTTCGCCTTTCGCTGAGCCTCCAACCCCATCGTCTTCGTCAAGAAACTCTTTTAGAGCCAAGTTCTTGGAGGACAGCGCTGTTTCCACAGTGCGAGTCTGAGAGCGAGCTGCCAAACAAGCCTCCTTGTCACATCAACCATGGAGTACTTGTGGTTGCAAAAGGGCAGGGATCATGAGTTCCACTGTGGTTGGTCTTGGCGATCACTTCGAGAACAGAAACAAATCAAATTGGTTCGGAAAAAAAAACTAGTGGATGTACGCGAGCGAGCAGCTCGCTCTGTGTTTCAGCTAGTTAGTTCCTTCCTTCCTGTGGACCCCGCGGGGAATACCGAGCACGAGGTGCTTTTCATACCAAGCAGCTGGGATGGCAGGCTTAAAAAGTGAATCGTGCTTTATTGCGTTACTCAATTGTGAGCGCGAGGGGGGTGCGAGATTTAATCGGCCCGGTTGCTGGCAGACCTTAGATCTGGAGCATCCTCACAACCTCATTAGGACCCCCACCACATCCAGACGAAGTGCTAGAGGGCAAAACGACTTCCAAGCACTGCTAGCCAACCATTCAGTCTAGAAAGGCCCCAAGACCCAGAAAACCCTTGCAGATTGGTGCGTCTTGGGCTGCCCTACGTTACCCCAATGTTGTCCGCGCCTTCGATGGGGATGTCACTGAGCCTACGGCCACGGCCACCTGACGTGCTGGAATTCTATCTATAACCCCAAGCACCTTATAAGAAAACGCTGCGCAAGTTAAACAAATGCACGTGGGAAGCCCACATTTAGATAAGGTTTTTACTCGCTTTTAAGTTGCCGCCTTCTCAACCAACAACATTGAACGATTGTAGGTCGGCTTTCGATAATCAGGCTCCACCTCTGTCCACCTTGGCTGTCCACCCTGTCGGTGCCTGTCCACCATGACTAGAGACAACAATCCCTACACCTCCAAGTACCTCCTCAGAAATCCCAGGGAATGGAGTCCTAGGGAATGTAGCACCAAGCCTCGTGGGCACCGAGAATCATCCCACTCCCCAGCGACACGCCGCGTTTACGCGACATGCGTTCCTTCCCCCAAATGGCACGCACTCACGCAAACGCACTTTCCACCGAGGCCGCGGAGGGTACCGCGCGCGCGTGCGCCGCCCCTGGAAGAAGAGAAGGCTCCTGGCGGCGCGCACCCTGCGAGAACAACGAAGACATAATATATTGTTTAGGAAGTAGTTGTTTTTTCAATAAACATCTAGGAACCAAGGAACCAAATAGTGCGAGCGTTTTTCCGAGAAAGCTCCCCCTAAAAGCGGTGAAGGAGCGTGAGCTCTCCTCTGTTTAGTAGGTAGTAGCTACCCTTTGCTAGCAGCTTACTTAGAATCAGGTCGGTCAGGTAGTCTCGACTTACTTCAATCATTGTCTTGTCCTAAACAGCAGCGTCGCTCCCCGACCCCTCTCTCACGGGTCGGCGGCCGCGGGCGTAAGCCCCCTAAGCAGGTGGAAGGGATTACTCCAACCGCTGTTGACCTTTCCAAATATAGGAGAATCTTAGAGATGAAGCAAATTCAAGAAGGTTTCGTAGAAAAACATGAATGGCCTCCAACTCCATCTTTGATGCTTCAGAAGCTCCAACCTACCTGCAGTACTTACTTTGAGCAGCTCTAGGAAGCCGAGCATGCTCGGCCAAGAATCAAAGAGCACAAGGGCGCTGTCCCACTGCCGGCCCTTCTCACAGGCACCTCAGAATGGTCGACGACACCGGCAGTACGGAGCATCCGTCGATCACCTGCAGAGTCCGACGCCCAAAGGAATCCAACTGGCCGAGGACATCCACAACGTACGAGGACGTCAAAAAGGGGTCATGGCACCGCCGGGTACGCCGGGTACGTCGGGCACCGACCTTAGATTAAAGGAACCGATTCCAGGGGTGTCAACCGACGTCTGGTGAGGCTTTGACACAGGAGCCAAAGCTCGATCGGTGCGCGAACCGCTCGAGACGTCGATCTGGTCTTTCACCGTCCGCTTCACACCGCCCGCAGGTGCCATCCAGCTACACCGAGGTGTATGAGCCCTGTACCAATCGACGAAGGGATGTTTAGGCCTCGGAGCTGGAGATTCCCCCCGTGTGGTCACCCTGCAAATTCGCTTGGAGAATTAAACATGTTTGGAGACATGTTCAAACATGTTCAAACCATCCCCCTTTAAAACCAAATCTACTACATACACTCCCGCATGGTTCCGCTATGGCACTCAGGGCTGCCCCAAAGCAGAAGACGTTGGGCGCGACGCGGGCCACTGGAAGGGAGTCGAAGAGCTGCAAGGCTTCGACCCACCTCAGCCGGATCGATCAGATCCTGCAGCGGCCCCCCCTGAGGAAGGTCGGAGTGAGACAGAGACTCACACAAAATCACATACACCAGGCAGAAGGTACGACTGGACCCTCCAAACCTACATAAAATGGTGTCTCCATCCTCACCGTACCTGAGAAGGTACGACTGGATCCCTAAATACCTAGGAAGAGACCGGAACCATGCAGAAGACCATGGACCAGACGAGTTTAGACGACCAGGATCCTCTACAGTACAATCCGGGCGTGGTCTTTCACCAGGATCCATGTGGGTCTCTTCCAGGGCATATCATCCATGGAACGGTTCCATGGGACGGCGCCAGTCTCATGACTAAGCCCATGGATGGCTGACCCATCCATGTAGTAAAGTAACTGTTCCAGTCCCATGGATGGTCTGGGTGCGTGCGCATAGCAGTTTTTTGGGTTGTGTTTTGGTGGGGGTCTTCATCCATACCGTGAGGGCAGATTTTGCTATATATTTGAGACAATAAGGGCATAAGGTCCTGATCATGACAAACCTTTGCAGTTCCAAACACCGGCCAAAAGTCTCGGCCATGGTGGCACCTGACAGGGCATTAAACAGATCCAAACACGACCGATGGGGTGTGAATGCAGGTCGATCAATTGACCCCTGAAATCAATATAATTCAACCACTTGTACGGACAACATGCGCAGGTGGAGTGTCTGACCCCCTTCAGTTTCCCGTCTGTTGATATTAGTGGGGAAACCAATCTGTTGATATTGGCTGGTTCATGGTCATTAATTCATCTCTTGGAACTCACCTCCTCGTCCATTCCGCACACCGATTCTCCGAAAGGGCAGCAGCCCATGCCCCGATGGCCACGCCCTTGCCCCGTCCCTTCCGACGGAGTGCTTCGACCGGACCCTTTGGGGTGAAAGAAGCACCCGATCTGGACCTGGGACCTGGCCCCTACCTAGAAACCCCAGACATGACCTGTGTTTTGATAGGAAGTTTGACCATGTTTGGGCTCCAAAAACAGGGGTCAATCAGCTTCTAAGTATAACAACAGCTACGACATGCTACGACTGGGGCCCCATTTTCGGAGAAACAAATGGGTTGACTCCAAGTACTTTCTCGCAAAGGAACAGCTTGCTCTTGGCACAGCTGGAGATTCCCATTGTGAAGTCCCGAGCGTCCAGTTGCAGCTGCCCCAAGTGCCTAGGTGCAGCGTTTGGGCGCAAACTACTGCGAGACTGGTGAACAGGTGCCAGTATGCGGGTAGAGATTTCCATGGGACACACCAGTTTGGTAGACGTCCGATTAGATCTGCTGTTCAGGCTGAAAAATCCGGAGATCCTAATTCTTCATCCGGATGGTCAGTTGCTTGCTAACTCTGGGATTCCGCTTATGCGAGATCCAATTCTCAGGTTGGATGTGCGAGTCTGCGGACGTCCGCGGAAGCTCGTCATGTGAATTCCAAGTATGGTTCGATTTCGTGGATTTGCATGTTTAGGAACCTAGAAAAACAAAAGCATATTCAAAGGGTATTTACCCACCTGGTCCGCAACATCACATTTTCTTGCCAGCCTCAGGAATTCATTGACTTTGCTTCTTCACTTCCTGCAAATTCTCAGTGGTCGAGCCATTCGGCTGCCAAGCTGCAGCGCAACTTCGAGGCAATCAAAGACAGCCATGCCTGCAGGATGTTGGCATGTGCCGTGGGAATCACGCGTTCCACCCCTATACCCAAACACTCCATGAGACTGGCATACTGACTGGCAATTCCAAACCAGTCCCAGTCAGGAGTGTTTGGGAGATTGTCTACTTGGATTTGCATGTTTAGGAACCTGGAAGTTCGACCAATCTTCCCGTCGTGACCAGTGACCAGTTCGTGTGGGTCCTCTGTGGTCTGGCGAACCTGGCGGATCGGATCGGGTCAACAGTATACGTAACGAAACAGTATACGTCGCACAGTAACGAAACAGTATACATCATTTTATGCCCTAGGGCCCTAGGGATCCGTTTTCGTACCTTCTCAGGTACGGTGAGGACGGAGACACCGTTTTATGTTGGTGGTTTGGAGGGTCCAGTCGTACCTTCTGACAAGGTACTTGGATCCCTAGGGATGTGTTTCAAGGACGGGGAATAAGCAATGTCTTCTGGGATTGGAGGTGTAGAGATCCAAAGATCTGGAGGTCTACTCTTCAAATCCTGTACCCGTTAGGGCTCCAGTCGTACCTCCGAAACGAAGGTATGACCGTATGACCACCCACCCCAGTCCCACCTTCTAAGAAGGTCCGACTGGAGCCCTAGGGGTATATGTATCACCACCAACATTGAGATGTTTGCTACAAAACCCTGGCGCCCGAAAAGCCTGGCGCCGTTGACCTGGCGACGGACCGGTCATGTTGACTGACATCCCTCAGGCCCCCTGTTTGTGTCTGGGTGGTGAACCACGGTGACGGGGGTTTTGGACGCAACCCCGCTCACTGACATGGAAAACCACCAAGGGGCCATGCCATCCACTTCCATGTGATGTGTTCATCAGAGTGTTTTGTGTCTGCGTTGTATCCCTTTGTTTGCCAGTGTAGCTCTGGTGAAAGGCATGATGAAGCTAGGACTTTGGCCAAAGACTTTTGGCCAGAGTTACCATTTCCTCATTATGGAACTAAAAGGTTACCTAATGTTACACGGATGGGCCATAACTAAATGGGATCCATGTATGCAACATGATGCAACTACTCCATGCATGGATGGTCTGGGATTTACGAAGGATCCAGCTTAAGTCCCATGAGTTGGCAAACACCGAAGAAGATTCAGCTTCGGCCTGGGTTGTTTTGCGCCAAATGCTTCAGCATCTCATGCAACCTCTGACGGTCCTTGATCCCGGCCACATCCGCGACTCGTGAGGAAACCATGAGTCCAGCGGAGCCCAGCGCAAGCCGCAGCCAAGCCGCAGCCAATTCGCTCGTTTTTGTTGTGCAGAAAAAACAAAACTAAACGTATCCATGACAGATCAGGGAGTCTTGGAACATGGAACCATGCAAACAAAAACATCAGTGTTTGATCGTGTTTGTGAAGATCAGGACGTCCACTTGATTGAAATCTTTCTGAGCTGATTCTCTTTCGCCAGCGATTGGTTCCTGCCATCTAGAGTTTAGTCAGGTTTGGCTCCTGCGTCAGGTTTTGCCACTGGCGACCCAGGGAGAGATGCTCGAGAAGTCCCCTCCGGAACCTCTTGGAATTCTTGAACCAACCACAAGGGGGGGGTGGCCACCCAAACCCTCAAACCACAGATTTGGTCCAATCCGTATTCTGTTTTGAATCAACCCGGGGAACCCCAGCAGCTCAAGGTGTTTCGCCCGCAACCTGCGGGAGTTCAGTGAGATGTGCCAACGGCTCCGGCAAAGAAGTCATCGTGCAATGTGCCAATAAGGACGTCCTTCCTGACCGTCTTGCAGGCTCTCTCTCTCTCTGGCTTCAAGTTGATCCATGGCGAGTGTCTAAAGCGATTTTCCTCAGATCTCTGCTAGAAAACATTAGTTTACTGATTCACTCAGTTTACTGACAGAAGAAAGATTAACGCGGTTCCACCAAACGAAACAAGTTTCCTTGCGAAACCATTGGACTGGTTGGTGTTTTCAACCCAGTTGAACAATATGAGTCAGTGGGTTGAAAAATATCCCCAAGTAAGGGTTGAGAATAAACATACACTCCCGAAAACTAACATAGACCCTGACGTCCTGGCCCCCTGGAAGATTGTTTTCCTCTACCAACCAGGGTCCATGTTAGTCTTCCAGGGTGTAATTCTCAGACAGACCCATCCAGCTGGAGGTTTAGACCATTCAGCTAGTTGGACCCTGGATTGTATCCGAAACCATCAGCTAGTTGGACCATTCAACCCCCCCCCAATCGTCCGGGGCTTTTGGCAGGTTTCATCGCCGCCGGAGGACGGAGGAGGAGTTCCGCCCCGACCCGGTCGGGCGCGGACGCCGAAGGAACCCATGCTCTGCCAAAACCGCGCTTCGCTCAGATTGGGAAGGTCAATGTTCAGAAGTCCGACGACTCTATAGACTCTGAGCTATAGTGAATAGCCTTCCTAGCAATGGCCTCCAACCTACTAGATGGGTGTCGCTTCCTCCTTCCATCTCCTTCCCCCTGGTCCGTCCGATCCATCCACACTTCCATGCTCTTCCAGCATTTCCCTTTCGAAAGGAATGACTCCGCACCACGTCCATTCTCTGCTCGCCTGGTGGGGTGCCTCTGACACCCAGCGCCCGAATCCTCGGCTCGACTGTCGATTGTCGTCGACAGTCTGCAAGAACCAATTCGTTGGACACTTGGAAATATAACTGGAAAGCCTTTGTCTTGCATATTTTCTTGCATATTTTTTGTTAAAGGGAACATTGAAGCTGTTGCAGTTGCAGACATTGCTACTCTTTAGATTTAACAGAAAAAAAGATGAAAAAAACATCTGAAACCGTTTCAAGTCAACAAGTGTTTGCTGTTTGCTTGTATGCCCTTGATGTGCCCCTTTGCCAACTCTTGATCTAAGTATGATGCGAGGAAACACTTACACACCCATCCCCACTGGTTGCTGATGCTAATACCGAAGATAAACTATATGTTCTGTTCATCTATGTTCTCTCAGTTGGCAATCTAAGCAAGCTGATTTGCAGGTAAGACATTCACAATTTGTTGTCTCCTCGCACTCCAAGCCCTTTCAAACATGGACATGAATATTGACCGTCAATATCTTTTTAGAGGCTATAGTCGTATAGTAACCCCCGGATGGCTAGATTCCAATAAGTGCTAAATCCTTGATGACTGATCGAACTCTCGAAGACTGCGGGGTACTCGCAGCAATTCAGGTCGATGTCAGTGCGAAAATACTCGTCCGACAATGTCCTCCTTCAGGTGAATTCCCTCTACCCAGGGACCTGAGTCAGTGGAAGTGCATTGTAAAGTAAAAAGAACATGGGACTGAATCGAAAAGCAGAAAAGCACCGCCTGCCGACCATGACCACTTCGCGTGACCATGTGGGTATTAAAATATGGAGATCTCCCAGTTCGACTCCCTCAACGAAGGAAAATTGACCCGTCTATAGCCTACCCATTGGTGCTATTCCCCCTATTATATAGTCTTTCCTACTAAACCACCCTTATACTTGGATTTGCTTGTTTAGGAACATGGACAAAGTAAAACAGATTCCCCAAACAGAAGGGGATCTAACCAGTTCGAGAACGAAACCAGAAAACTCACCTGGCCTCAATGGCCTCCTATAGAAGACTGTTTCTTCCTCTACCAACCGGGGTCGGGATCGTCCACACCGTCACGTCCCTCGAGCCGGTCCTCGGCCCCCACCGTCCGCACCGTCGGGCGGCCCGGACCGTTCGGACCGTTCTTCGCCGCGGGCACCGGCGCCTCCGGACCGAGCGGCGTGACGCTCGCCGGTGCGGAAGCACCGGTGCATGGATGGGGTGAATTCTTGGTCCGACAGGGCCAGGTTGGTCTGGTAGAATTGTATGTATACTGTATATCATCTCCCAAAGACTCAACCACAGCCCCCACATTGACGTCTATAAACTCCGCCCAGGCATGTCCATAAGCCATGCAGCGTGTGTGTGTGTGTGTGTGTGTGTGTCTTCCGTTTTGCTACTTGTCCGATTCCAGTCTATATCATGGTCGGTTTAGCAAAGTAGGTCCCCCCCATCCATCGGCCTCAAGGGACAGGTTCTGAGATCACACAAAACTACAGTGACGCGGTCAGTGGTCCGTCTGGGTTCCGAACATCTCGATGGAATCATCCATTGAGATGTTGGGAGTAGGCGAAGAAAGGAACAAACAAACCCAGACACTCCATGGGACTGGTACATATATATATATATACCTACATTGACCCCTGAAACCACCCCAATGTACGTAAATATGCCATACATGGAGTGTCTGGAAATATGTTTTATGGCAGGTGTCGATGCAATCTCAAACGGTCTAGAGTCTTGATCGACCAATGAGAGGACATAGAACAAGCACCGCCTAAAAGGGGTGCAACCCATAGTGGTTCATGTTGGACCGTACTTGCTTGAGGCATGCTCACAAAATAGCCCCTTTGCTAGGACGACTGTGCAGTTGTGATTCATGACCATGCATTAGTATCGTCTCAGTATTCATGTTGGTGTGCGCAAATCGTTGATGCTCTGCCAAACCGCCCTGTTCCCTTCTATCACTGATGCAACAAATAGATGTTGTTCTTCATTAACGCAACTCAATACGTGAGCATGAACTGTACACAAATGTTCCTCTGCAGCTTGCCGAACGGGCAGGTAGGGCAAATCCACAACCGCCATAACTTGTGTGTTGTATGAAAAGGTAAGTGCGTGATGCCCCAAACATTTAAGTTGCATTTTAACAAACTAAGTCAACAGAATGTTAAAAACATACGGTGCATTGTTCCCTCTCAGCAAGCAGCAGGAAACATGAAACAAGGCGCTTTGGGTTGTTCCACTTAAAGACCGTTGGCCTTCCACGTTGATGGGCCTTGGGAGCCATCAAAATCCCGCATGCCGCAAGGATTTGTCGTTTCACGTCCGATCCAACCAACCTGAGACATGTCAGTGAACCAATGTTCAGTATCAAACAGTAAAAAACCGGTCAGCCACCCCAATGTAGACAAATTTGCCATGCATGGAGTGT